GCTTTGGTTCCATTTTTGGCAAATTCTCTATATTTTCGAAAATTGCAAACGAAAAAAACATTACAAAATAACGCTATTTATTAAGCTGTTTTTCTTAAATTATAAGAGGGGTTTGGAAAGAAAACTACGACAAATTTCACTGCTTCCATCTGATAAATATTCTGATTTAGCATAGAAGTGATACTTTTCAAACTGTATCAATGCTATGCGTCAGAGGAATAGAGTTGATATGCCGGCATTTACCTTCTAAAATCTATGTATTTACACAATTCATGGCATGAAAACCGATGACAAGCAGCGAACAATTGTGACTTTTGGGATATAATCACTAAAATGATGTGTGTCAATGTTTTTACATACATTGGAAATATTGTGGAAGTTTTATCAAAGACGAGAGGAAATATAAGTTCAAAGTAATTTCTCCCCATAGCACATCACACAAAGCATTTAACGTAACTTTGTTTGTGACGTAAATTAAATAAATAAATAAATAAATAAATAAATAAATAAATAAATAAATAAATAAATAAATAAATAAATAGCCTTGAAAATGTAGCCATAAACCACGCATAAGCAGGTGTTAAAGCAGAAGTATGTGTGATTGTATTCTAATACTAATTTCTATGTAAACTAATGTAATTCTATGTAGAATTCTAAAAAAAGGGATCCAACAATATAGTATGTACAAGTGATTACAGTTTTAACTTATACAGTTACAGATTTACTTATACTATTTATTTCCAGAAAGATCAGATGTATAAAGTAAATATAATGTAAATCTGAACAAGAACAACTGTAATTTGAAATTGGGTTTAAATTTCTTTTATAAAAATAAATAAACAAATAAACGCCCACTTACATGCAGCAAATTCCTATCGGCGCGAAACAGATATATGTAAACTATTTCAAATAAATTTGACATAGAGCGAAATAGTATGGGAAGTGTATTGCAAGAAAATGGGTTTTTTGGTCAATATGAAACTAGTATTAGTCAAAATCAAATGTTTATAACATATTCTATTTTATCATAACAACAATATAGTAACGATATTAAAATTTACTTTTCAACATAAACTTCGCCTGTTGACATAATGAGACTGTAGTGAAAATATTTTTTTAAATTTAAGTTGCGGCATAATACTTATATTATACACTAAATTATTGTTTTTAATAATGTTATAGTAACGTAGGAAAAGATTTTCCTAATATTTCCTTTAAAGATGTAAATTGTAGGTTCTGAGTCAAAACGACTCCGCTGAGCGGACCCCGCTGGGGGACCATTGGTGAGTCGGGAGGCTAGTGTTACAGTTGTTGTTGACGAAATACCAAACTTCAAAATTTAAAAGTGTCTGGACTATAATTACTAAAGGGGGAATTGATGAATATAACACCATTAGACTTGCAATGGGCAGAAATACAATCATGTCCTTATATGGAATATTGCAAAACCCGAAGAGAAGAAGATTCCACAGTGAAGTGGAAAATATTATAGTACATGCAGAAGAAAATTGGCCTTTAACACAGCTCTGGCGTAGAGACAGAATACGGTCAGTAGAGCTCGACGTTATGAGAAGATATTTTCAGATAACAAGACTGGACAAAATAAGGAACGAAGCTGGACAAGATAAGACGTTTCTTCAATTTCTTTCAAATATTTGAATTTTGCGGCTTTGCATTATCCCAAGCACTAATAGTTGATCCATTTATTACAACAAATGGTTAGGGTTTTTGTCTACAACTTTGTAAAATACAAAGTTGCAAATTCGTCATGGACGCAGCGTCACCCGGACAGCCTCGTAAATCTGACTCCGGCCGCGGAAGCCTACGCTCTAACTTTGTAAAATGTTTACATGCTAATGAACTATGTGTATTTCCTTCAATCTATTCAAATGTGATCCACATATTGCAAAATTCCGGTCACACTGACAGTAGAAATGTCTGCGTGCAGTTATTCTGCCGATGTTCTAATCAATACTAGAGAAGGACCCAATTCAACCGTAAGGTAGAAAGGCGCCAAAAGACTATAAAGAACTATTTTACGAATAACCGAAATAATTCGAGTAACACCATTCTTCCAGGGAACTCCTCCACCATTGTTGATAACACGTTTCCTTAACGTAGCGAATGTTTCGAGGTATTAAAGCTCATCAGCTCTTGACTTCTCTTCGTTTGTGCTTTATAAAATTTTGTTAAGAACGCGCAAATTACATGTGCATGTAACACACTTCCCGCGCATATGCACGTAGCTTACAGGCGGGACAGAGGCCCTCGAAAAACACCGGAAATGAGGCGTAACGGATGGCAATTTTACGAGCCCCTGCGATGGTAATCCAGTCAGGAAATGAGTTGCGGTAGCCAATTATTACTAACAATTACCAGAGAGTTACTGATGGGACTGTTCGGTAGAAACAGTTCGTTCGCGATCATTCGTAAATTCGATCGTGAGAGGATTGATCCGTACTCAAGATATAATGAAATAATCGAAATATTATGTGAAGTGTACAAGCAGTTTCTCGAATAATTATGTAAAGAAGCTCACTTTCGCGGAGGTAGGGTTATATAAATTTGTACCTGAACTGCTCATGCTGCTTCTACTATAATCTCTGAAGCTAATTTATTCCATTGAGTTCTTAAAGAATGATTTTACCTGTTTCAAAGTCCAGAAACTGCGTTGAACACTAAAAACGGTTACGGGTTACGTAGTCCCAATTTAAAAAATCGGTAAATATTTGAAAATAATTATTCCTTTCAGCTATTCAAAACATCGATGAAAGAATAGGTAGGTTAAAGATCAAATGTTAACCACCTTTCGTCCCATTACAGATGTTCTTTGAGCACTATGTTTTCGTTTAAATTTTTTGCTCCCTTTATCAATTTTTTTGCTTAAATTCTATAATTTGGCTCATTTCATTTTCAGAAAAACTTACAACAGTATTTGGTAGAATATTCTGCAGTTTTCAGAGCGGTCTTTTATGTTTCATAAATTTATGCTTTATTTGTGAGGTAAAATGATCAAGAAACGGAATGAAAATTAACTCTTAATTTTCTGGCTCATCCGTTTTGTAACTATTAGTCACCATATTTTTTTCATTTATATTATTTGCAAAATCTTCAGCCTCGCGATACAATTTTGAAATAGAACTGCATTCTTCCAAAAAATACACAAATTTTCAGTCACATTTAAAGCAGAAGATTAGTCGATCTTTTCCTCTTACCAATAAACGTACACTGATGTTTGTGAAAATTGCAACATCAAGAATGAGACATACTATTACAATGAAATTTATTCCACAGATTGGGAATATTACAATATACAAATGATTAGAATTACAGAACTGTACCTGCATTTTGTCGTTGAGAATTTAGTACGCCGTGATTCCCTTATGAGCTGCCACGAGAGCCTCTAGACGTCGTGGCATGGATTCAAAGAGAACCTTGATATGTTGCTGGGGAACACACTGCCATGTGGTTTCTATCTGCGATCACAAAACATCGACAGCGGCTGCAGGACCAGAACGAACAAGTTGCCGATCAATCATATCTCAAACATGTTCGATAGGTCACATATCAGGCAAACGTGCCGGCCAGGGAAGAAGTGGTACCCGTTTTCTTCAGAAGACGTTTGCACATTTCTCGTCACATGAGGCCGGACCTTGTCATACAGAAATATAGCATGTGGAACTGCTTGCTATAGAGGCATTACCTCGGGCTCAAAAACATACGTAACATACGTAAGATCGCACATTGTAGCCAATGGCGCCCCAAAGCATGACACTTGGCGTTCGTCCGCTATGGTGCGGAGCAATGCAGGCTGGGAGATTGCGATCACCACGTCCGAAAACACCACATTTTGCCACTCAGCACACCAGTGAACACGTTCACGTGCCAATTGCTGTCTGACGTGTTCGTGGTTTCTTGAGAAATCCGACGCATTGGTATGGGTGCCACCAGTCCGTCCCTCATCAGACGGCGTGGAATCGTCGACACCGACATAACTACACCCGTTGTACTGCTCCAACGTCGAGCCAAAACTGTGAATAAACGCCGTTCTGTCGGTTACGGCCATGCGGACAAAATTGCGGTCTTCTCACGCTGAGGACACATTGTGTGGTTCTGTACCCGCTCGCCGTCTACGACCCTCCTCTATCCACTGATTTCACACACGCATCAAAGTCGTAGCAGCGTGCCCCGTTCGAGCGGCAATATGACAGTATGACAAACCCGCTTCTCAGAGACCGATCATTCTGCCCCATTCGAACTCACTCAGATGTTGGTAGTGCGCATTTTGGCGGCGACAACGTATACTGTCACTTGCTTGCACGTTTTCACGTTGTTTGACGGCTCTGCATTGACTAGGTGTGGCGTAATATTGACCTGTCATATAAAAAATGGCGCAGCTACGCCAACGTGAATGTCAGCTCTATGAAAATTTAATAATTTCTTATTGATACACTATTCTACACATCTACAGATTTTCAAGTGATCCCGACCATTGCTTCTGGATGTCGCATTTTCACAAACAGCAGTGTCGATTATCTACATTAGCTTTACTTTCAATTGAAAAGAATTCCCTTCCAAAGTACCTATATGCGTTAATGTGGTAATCGATAGATTTGTGAATACACAAATTAGAGAAACATGACTGATGTAAGGATGCATTTACTCAGTTCAATAATTCACTTCCAAATAAATTTGCTACATTAATTGCACGTTTCTCATTTTCTTTTTCCCTCTTATCTCGAAATCTCGCTAGGCCTTTGATTAGAAAAATATTTCAATGAGTAAAATTAACGAAAGAATTTTAAATTTGATTTCGTTACGTCTCTATTCCAAAATGTTTGACGAATTTCGGCCTCGAATGTGTTCTTCATCTGGAGACCTTCACTGCTTATCTCTCTGCAGGAAGATGCGTTAATGTGAAAATCACACGCTCTTCTAAGGGAAGGATATGGAGAAAGTATGGGAAAGAGAAGGAAAGTCGTAAATCTCCCAAACACCAAATGCCTGTTGAGCAGAAACAGTGTGTGTGTGTGTGTGTGTGTGTGTGTGTGTGTGTGTGTGTGCGTGCGTGCGTGCGCGCGCGCTCGCGTTCGTGCGTATGTCCGCGCGCTTGTTTTTTCTGTGAGTTTCGTTTTTGTCTTCTAGCGGAGTGAGAAGGCGCGTGAAAGACCACGCTTACCGCGTAACGGCGGAGTTGGTTTTACTTCAATGCAGCTGAAGTACCCTGCATTGTCGGATATTTATTAACCATAATCATTCTGCCGCCCCTGGCCTGCTGTGCTCCTCCCCATCTTGCCATGTTCGTTAGGATCCTCGGTATCACCGTCGCTGGTATGGGCATCTCTGAACAGATGCATTGCTGGGTCCTCCCGATAAACATTCAGTAACACGTTTGGTCTAGAATTGCTCTGAATGTCATTGAAATGAATCAAATTGCATTTATTAGACAGTTTTATGGTATTTTAGAAACACTTAATTCACTTTGGTGAATTTACTCACCGTTTCCGAGAAATGTGTGAAAACTTGAAAGAAAGCAAACTTGAATATTGCATTAAGGAGTGGGAAAGGGAGATAGGAAGATATTTATGTCTTCCATTTAGGGAAATAAATTATATTTTACAAAATAGTAAATTGTCTCCTGAAACCATTCTTATTACTTACGTTTTCTTTTAAAATATGTTGCTAATTTTTTCTCATTAATATTTGGTCTAAAACATATTTTTTTGTTTGCCATACACAACCCATTCAAACCTGGGAAATAAAGTCCCAAATTTTTAATTCCAAACATGAAGGCAATAAAAATATGGAACATCAACAAAGATATTAGTTTATATCTGTAATTACCTTCCTTTAGGTCACTGCATCATCTACCTCAAATATATCTCTTCCCCAAAGACGTCATCGCAAAACCACCAAAGCGCCTCGCTTGAAGAAACTTCTCGAGTTTCGAAGCCGGGACCTCTGTGGGTTTGGAGAGGAGGACTTTCAATCGTCGAAAGGATGTTCAGCCGACTGCCAGCAGAAGTGGCGGTCTCTCCTCTTTAACAGTAACTCTGCAGCTATCGGTTTTCCTCGCACTGCCCGCCTGCCAGCGCCGCCACCGCCGCCGCCACCGCCTGCACCACCGCCGCCGCCGCCGCCGCTGCGTTTCAAAGTCGATACGTCTCCTGAGAACAATCAGCGTTCCATTGTTTCAACAGGCTAGCCAACTCTGCGCGCACGAAATCCCTCATAACACCCCCCTCTCCTCCATCCCTCATCCTTCCAGCCAGCGTAGGCTATAGCTCTGCCTAATGACAAGTCATTGTATACAGACTACCCCGACCCCTCCGCCTCTCACTCTTAAAACTGAAGGGCGGCGGGGATGGGGGTGCTATTTGTTTTGGCCGGGACCTGAGCTGGCTATTTGCGAGCGCGCTGGTGTTGGTACGACTGGATGGATGTTGAAGGGACGACCCTGCAGCTTTTGGACCGAGTTTTATTCGTTCTTTGCTCAAAATGCCCCAAGTGATCTCATAGTAGGGAATTCGAAGTAGGCTGGTTCTCTCGTATTCTAACTCCAACGTACTTGGTAAAATACCTTGTTTATCTAAAAGTAGTTAATAAAGTTATTTTTAAATGGAAGAACCTTGATCAACTTTGGGCTACAGATTAAATTTGACTCAAAAATTTAATTATTTGAACTTCTGGATAAGCGAGTGTGGATTTTAACACCTGTGGGCTTTCAAATACTCCCTCGGGAATTTGCAGCCCAAGAACGCCCTTCCTACGTTTGTATCACAAGATTGTTCACATAATAATAGTCTGTAAGATTCTCGTCTCAAACATTACCCTGTTGTTAATCTATTTTTAAAGCAAGAGATTAATTAGCAAGGGCTCCACATTCTTATTGGATAAGATGTAGTGAAGCGGGAAAGCATTTTGTTAATATCACATAATTTGTACTTTTTCGTGGAGAATTGCAATGTTGAGAATTGCAATTGGAACAATGCTCATACAAAGTGTACTTACTATTGTAAATTACAACAATAAATATGACATTTCCTACAATTGAACTCGTTCTAAGGTCGAATTGTCATTAATCAAACGTAAATAAGTGCAAGTTTAACTTTTCATCGTCATGTTTGCAAATAGTTAATAAAACTGTAATGAATATAATATGTAGATTAATCAAGAGGACTGCTTGTATTGTGAAATCAAAAAACATTACTTCTAGTTGGCATTGAAGTTGTCTTCGAAAACTTTTCAAAGCAGAATCTTTTAAATATAGTATATATCAGTATCTACACGTAAGGTTATATTTCTAATCTACTTTTTCTCTACTTCATTTACGCTACATAAGAGACGGACTGTTTTGTGTATTTAATATATCACTCATCATCCATTATCATTACAAGACATTAATATCTGATCTCCAAGTGAAATATTCGTAACATGTATAACTTCTCTGGGATACAAATGCTACTCTGAAGGAACATGAGCAACACATTCTCAGCTGGCTTCTCCACAAGATAAGGTAAACCGATCTTCAAAACGTGAAACCAGTGACTGATAAACTTGATAATAAACAGGTTAGTACTTCTACTAGTTTCTGTTTTTATCTTTCTCCCTCTCTCTCTTTTTCCCTCTCTCTTTCCGTCTCTCTCTCCCTCTCTCTCTCTCCCCCTCTGTATCTCTCTTTCTCTCTCTTTGTCTCTCTTTCTCTCTGTCTGTTTCTGTCTCTCTCTCTGTCTCCCTCTCTGTCTCATATACTGAGAGATGATATTATTAGGGAACTGAATAATTGACTATCTAGATCGCATATTGTAATTATTTATAGTTTACAGGAACCAATCACTAACTCTCGTGAAACAGTTCACAGTGTGATCAATAATCTAAATGATATTCGTGACTCGACTGCAACAATTGATTTTCAAATAGTTAATTGTATTATACTCTTTCGATTCAAATTTTAAACAAATTTAAGCAATTCGACTTGGTAAAAAACGTTTCGGGCGGTAAATTTAGACCCCTAGAAATTGTTCTTCAATCAAAAAATGATGCTTTAGCTGTTCTGAAAGCAACTTCTGAGCTCTCTAATTTACATGATATCAATGTTACAGGTAATAAGACACATAAGCAACGTGATTATTTAAACCTTGTTCATAATTACCTTAATCAATACACTGAAGCTGCTGAAGCAAATCTATATATTAAATATAAAAATAGTGTTCCTTATATCGTGACAAAAAACTTCAAGATTGACTGCATATAATACTGTCCCAACTTAAAATTCATTTTCAAAAGGTTAGAAATATGAAAACAAAATTAAATCTTTCTTAAAGAATCCCATTTTGTACAAATATGAGGGATTGATTTTCATGATACTGACATTTCAAACAATGAAATTCGCCTCGATAAGAATTTTATCTATAGATTCAATCGAAACCAGAATACCAGTAGTTGGGCGGCGAAGTATTGATAGCAGATAGACAAATACATGATCAATAAATTAATATCGTCTACACTTTCAAATGTTGAGATGTTGATTATTGTACTGCAAATTAATCATGCTGCTCTATTCATTAACACAGTTTAAATACCTCCACGAAGCTCCATTAAGCTCTACATTAATTATTGCCAATGTATTAATTTATATTTAAAGAACTTCAATTTCGATACACTTATATTATAGGGAGAGTTTAACCTTTAAATATAACCCTGGGGTCTATTGAACCCCAACCAAACTTCATGACTTAAGCATAATTGGAAAATAAATGATTGGAATATTTTACTCCCTTGTAAATTCAGTTAGTACGTTTGGGAAGCGTTGGCACAGCTGCCGCCTTCTTTTGGTCTACAAGTAACACAGAGTAGAGTGCGGAATTGGCTTTGCAATTTGTTGGACCCCAGTATTATTCTTACGTCTGTCTTTTTCACAGTTGTAACATTGGTTTTTGTTTGTTTTTTAAGAGTTTTTTGAGACAAAATGACAAAAAACATTAGATATAATTCACACCTAATATGAGATTTAGTAGATGAGAGGTAACGATGATACATGCGGGAGCTTTTTTGGTAATGATTGGGCTTTCGATACTGATTTTGTTTCTGAAGACCATTTTCAATGGTTTTAATTTATTTTTCCACAAATGTCTTTTTAGTGGGTAATTTAAAAATTGTAGTAGTTGATTTGTTTTCATTTTTTGTCCAAATTTACCCCGATCAAATATCTAAGCAAGTATCATTTAGTTGTTTATCTAAAAACGTCTCTTTTACTAAGGTATTATAAAAAAACTGTTCACATTTTCAAGATAATAATAATAATAGTAATAATAATAGTAATAATAATAGTAATAATAATAGTAATAATAATAGTAA